TTCTTTGGCAATCATGCAGCCATAAGTTATCAAAACGCTTTAACAAAATCTTAACTAGGAAACTAAATGCCTACTTATGCAATTGTTAGCTTCAGTTGCTCAAAGAATGCAAAGTCAATAGCAATTAGGAAAGAAAACCTTAGAAAAGGGAAAGATGGCTATAAAATACCTAATTGTTTTTTTAAAAAATACTCCCTTGGTACCTTCAAATGCTAATAAAATGCCCTTTCTATATGACCAGTAGCACACAGGTCTTTCTCTTCTTGTGTAGAAAAAAAACAAAACAAAACAAAACAAAAACCCATACCGTGATGATGTACTTAATACCCTTCATTACTAAAGATTGTATTATTCTAATGTTACTGGTTTATAATTAATTTGTAAGTGACTCCAGAAGTTTAACACCCCACCCTCTGTTTGTTGCTTAGTAACAAACAAGCCACATGAAAAACTGCCAGGTTATTGACTCTTGGTCCTAATGGTGGGAGCATTCTTTTTAGAGTACTTTATATATTGTCTCTGTAATTTAGCTCAGGCAAACTTGCCTTCATAATGGAAACTTGTCTAAATAAATATAAAGCCATAGAAAAACGACATTGTAAGTATTTAGTATAATGTACATGACAATTGTTTGTCTCAAACACATTGCTGCTAATACATTCTTGTTTTAAAAAAAAGAAATCAATGATAATTGTGCTTCATGTTGCACAGGCAATAATCTTCTATTTTCAATTTTGGCATACCACACAGATGTAACCCACTGGGTATCTTCATGGTACAAGAACATCTGTGTTTCTACAAGTAATAAAGGAACTAAGCAACAGAGCCTTTATTTAATACAAGCATGTCCAAGCTGTTTCAATAAAACACACAGAAAATGAAAGATACTGAGCTTTTGTGTTGTGTCCAGAAAACCCATGTCCAGCACTATGTACAACATAACCAGCTCAGTGGATAGAGTTCACAGACTAAAGGTCAAGCGGAGAACACTGGTCTGAGAAAGATTAGATCAACTTGTCTTAATGCTTAATACATCATTCTTTCTTCTTCATTCCCTCATTCTCTTTCTCCCCATCCATCTCCCCCCCCTACACTTTTTCTGCTGTTTTCTAAATCTTCAACTTTCTAGGGTTTTGTTTTGTGTTTTTGTGTTTGATACCTAAGCACATAAAATTACTGATCTGGAGACCAAAAAAGCATCTTAAAACCTAAATTGATTGCTAATGTGGATTTCAGTTGTTACTATTTTACACATTTTCTTGAAAAAATGAAAGCTTAACACAGCAACCTCTTGCCTTTTCCATCTCAGACACAAATAAAATTTAGACACAGACACATATAGACATATTACACACATGCACACATAAACACACATGAGTTAGGTACTACATTGCAATGCTTGGGTCAATAACAGAGTGCATGTATGATGGTGGTCACATAAGATTATGTGAAACTGAAAACTCTGATTGCTTAGTGAAGCAGTGACCATAATAGCACAATAGTGAGCACTTTTACTTGTGTGCCTGTATTGATGGTGATGTAAAGAAAAAGTATTATTCCTCATATGAAAGTACAGCATTTGCATATATAGTACATGATACTTTATAATGATAAATAACTATGTTACTGATTTTTTGTGCTCATTGCACTATGTTTTAAATTGGGATTTAAAATACGTTATGCCTACTTTTAGAAAACTACTATAAATGAATACTGTATCACACCAATATTAGGGTTTCCTGAAACTCTGGATTTGTATCGTTTTCCCTTTGATTGTTTTTGATATATATGGTAATTATCATATTCGGTAATTATCTTACTGGGCTATCTAACGTAGCAAGCTTAATCATTGGATTTTCTTTGGACCACTAGCTAGCAAATAATGACATGGAGGCTTACTATTAATTATTTAATCATGGTCTTAGCTTAGGCTTGTTCCACTAGCTCTTGTGACTCAAATTAACCTCAATTTATTAATCTATGTTTTGCCATTGGCTTCATTATCTCTCCTCTATACCATGTGTCCAAACTCTTCAGTGTTTCCCTGAAGTCTTGGTGGCAAATCTACCTTTCTTCTTCCCAGAGTTCTCTCTCTGCCCAGAAGTCCCACCTATATTCCCCTGCCTAGCTATTGTCCATTCAGCTCTTTATTAAACCAATCAGAAGGTGCCTTAGGCAATGATACATCTTTACAATATACACAAATATTCCACAGCAGTATAATTTTATAATTAATTCACCCATTTAAGTATATTTATATTCAGCTAACTTATTTTACCATTTTATCTTTTTTCATGCCATCTCTTTCTAGTTTGCTTTCTCTTACAGTGATAAGTGCAACCATCAATTGCAACTTTGGTTTATTTGATTTATACTAGTATAAATCAAATGAGGCAAGTCATGCCAGGAGACAGTAAGATTTAGGAGCAGAAACCAAGGAATAATGGTGCTTCCTGCATTACTCCTCAGTTTTTTCCATCTTGCTTTCTTTGTTAATGTATTATTGATTAATTAATTAAAAATTTCCCATCCAGATCAGTTTCCCCTCCCTCCTCTTCTCCCAAGCCCCCCATCTACTCCTCCTCCTTTCTCTTCAGAAAAGGGCAGGCCTCCCATATACATCAGCCAGCTGTTGTAAATCAAGTTGCAGGAAGACTAGGCACCTCCACCTCTTTCAAGACTGGGGGAGGCCACCACGTAGGAGGAAAGGACTGAAAAAGCAGGTAACACAGTCACTCAGAAATCTTTGCCTAGCCCAATTGCCACCAGTGAGTCTTGACCCAGTAACTAATGGTAACAGATGCAGAGACCCACAGCCAAACATTAGGCAGACCTCAGGGAACTCTATGGCAGAGGTGATGGGAGGATTCTGGGAACCATAGGGGGGAGGACACCACATGAAAATTCAAAGAATACACTACCTTTCTTCAACAGCCCAAGTACCACACACAGTGGGTTGAGCCCTCTTAACAGTAGTAAACAATCAAACAACATTCCACAGACATGGCCATAGGCTGATCTGATCAAGACAGTACTAGCTCTGAGGTTCCTGCTTCCCAGGTGACTTTAGGTTGTGTCCAATTGACAATAAAATCTAACCAGCACTATGTCTAAGAGATTGTGAGCAAATACTATTTAAGTAGTACATACACCCTTCCCTCTCTCTGCCAGCTATGAAGTGATGAGTAACAGCCAAGAATGAAAATAAACAATCAAACACCAAATTGAATTTCAGATGGTGATGAAAGTTGTGAAAAAAGTTAAATCGGAGTGAAAACTGAAGTAGATTTGCTGAGGCTTCCTGTCTAACAAAAATCCCAGTATCGGGCATCAGAAACCAGTTATGTGGCTGGTCAGGATAAACAGAGTGACTCCAAAAACAATATAGGCGATTGCTGTGACACTGGCTTGCACCTCAGAGGTTGAAGGCATGTCCCTATTATTGAGGACACCACACATGTCAGGCAAAGGACTCAGAAGAAGAAAATGGATCTAACCTGAAAACCTCCTCCTTTTGGTCTAACTGTCTTAGTATCAGAAAGTATTACATAAGCTACCAAGCGAGAGTAGAAATCACACTCCAATCCACCTCAAGGAATATTGGGGAACACAGGATGGAAAACCAGTCGGAACCAGGGAGTCTAGAAATCACAGGAAAGCTTCATTCATGATCCTGCAACATTATGGTCAGCCTAAACAAGAGCTTAATATTATCAAAAGACATAGTGATGCAGATCGGAGGATCTGTGGGGACCCTATCTGTAGACAATGAACTAAAGACAACTGATGACTGAAGAGAGGAAAAGGATTGCCTATCAGGGATAAGCCCCCTAAACTGGACATCCAAAACAAAGTGGTCAGTCCTGAAATTATATACACACAGCCATACAAATTGGACTCAGCAGGTTGTATTTATACATTTATACTCATATGTGTAAGAATAGCAGAGGCTCACAGAGGCTCTTAGAGGCTGGTGACAGCCACTGCATCTGCATTGGGCTATGCTAGGTCTTCTGAATACATTCTGTGGTTGTTTAGCTTAAGGGTTTTGTGAGACTACTCACAGTGGGATTGGGGGTTGTCTCTTTTGCCTGCTCTTGGGACTTTTTTCTCCTACTAGATTGCCTTGCCCAGGCTTGATATAAATGTTTGTGCCAAGTCTTATTGCATCTGGTTATGCCATGTTCTGTTGCAGGTGACCCTACTCGGACACCCCTTGGGGAAGGGGCTGAGAAGACTCAGCACCAATGTCTCAGGCACCGGGAGTCACTGAGCAGCAGAGCAGGCTGCAGACTGGTTTATTAAAGAAGTTAGGTCTGCCTTTATATCTCCTCCCAAGGTCCCATTGGCCCAGGCGGCTGACTCTGCTGTGTGTCCTTTCCTCATTGGTGTCTCTGGTCAAGGGTCTCTCCATCAC